GGTCCAGCGGTGCACACTGCGATCGGATCCTTGCGGTTGAGGTCCAGGGGTGCACACTGCGATCGGATCCTTGCGGTTGAGGTCCAGGGATGCACACTGTGATCGGATCCTTGCGGTTGAGGTCCAGGGGTGCACACTGCGAGGGGATCCTTGCGGTTGAGGTCCAGGGGTGCACACTGCGATCCGGAGCTGGCCAGACAAGATCGGCGAAGCAGATTGGCGATGAAGATTGGCGAGGCGATGAAGATTGGCGAGGAAGGAAGCAAGGAGGCAGAAGGAAGGAAGCAAGGAGGAAGGAAGGAAGGAAGCAAGGAAGGAAGGAGGAAGAACAACTGTGATAAAATCTAACAACCCTCACCTGGCAGGTGGGGAATAAAATAAAGGCACACAAACAATTGAAAAGAAAACACATAATCTGTTGTTCGTTTTTTTTGAGGGGGGGCGTTTTTTTTGCATTTGTTTGTGTGTTGTTTGTTCGTTTTGTTTTTACACGTTTTTGTTTGCCTTTTGTTGTTTCGTGTTTTTTGTTTTGTCGTTTTTTGGTTTGGCGCCTTTCGATGACGTGTTTATTTGTATTGTTGTTTTTGCATGTTTTGTTCATTTGTTGTTTTTAGGTTTTTTCAAAACCATCAGAGATATGCTAAGTGGTGAACATACATCAGGTTCTCAGAGATCCTATCGCACCTAAATGTTGTGCATCCTGGTGCTACTTCTTTCATGCCACCTCATGTCTGCAGGATTGCACGGATATTTGGACTCAAAGCTGGGAAATTGAGAGGATAAATCAGCAGAATGAGTCTTCTGCGTGGATGGAACTGGGTACTTGCGAAGCATCTCTCTCCGTGGCCATGCACGAAACTCCAAATCCCGATGCAGAGGCAGAGCGTCTCAACCTTTCAATCCCTAGCTGGCCACAGCTGTCGCCCAAGGACCCAATCATACAAACGATGACTAGGGCAAAGAACAAAGTCCGTTGACCACTTGGTAATTCAGAGACTCTCTCGTTGGACAATGTTCCGTTTTTTTTTGTGAAGATTGGCGACATTCAATGGTATGCGAGGAACAGAAGGCCTACACAAGATCTCCAGCCATACATATCACCACGGATGACTCCGACAAAATCCTTTTCACGTGCTTGCCAGGCAAGGTTTTTTCCAGGGACATTAGTCTGCGACAGTATAGAGTCATGTGCCTGCCGAAAAAACATGCAAAGTATATGTTGATTCCCCCATGAAGATTGGCAAGGCTACGCGGAGGGGCCATTGCTGGATGGAAATATCTCGACTCTTTGTGCGAGCCATGCTGCCGTGCGGTCCAGTGACTTGTTTGAGGCCACCAGTTTGCGCCTCGGAGCGCATGGTGATGCATGGTGCCTTCGGTAGATGTGGATGGGAACATGAAGCCCAATGCATACATACTCCCAAATACACCCCCATCTTCCGCATGCACATGTTCCCTGGCAATGGACTGAATCTACAAAGATGACCAATGCCATGTTGAGGTTCAAGAACAGCTTTCAGACCCTGGTGACGGAGAAAAACTGCCCGGTACTGATACTCAGCTGAAGATTCTCCGGCGGCAGGCTTTGCAGCATTCATTTCATGTCATCTTGATGCTGAGGATGGACCCTTCTGCTCCGATGGACCCCATCGCCCGGAACACGGCCAAAGGAGGCATGACGATGCAGCAGCTGAGCCACATCCTTCGCTTGGCCTACTACGCCACGCCCTTCGGCGATCCACACCAAGAACCCTTCAACTACACTGGCTACGACGCGGCGTTTGCTGACATGGTGGGTTTTGCCAGCCTGATGCAAGGTGGAACATGGTGGAACCATGTGGAACTGTGGAACATGCATTGTTCTGGCTTGCAGTGGACGTCAAGTCCTGGATAAGTAAGTTCATGTGATTCTTAATAGGAACCAATCCAACGGACTGTGCTGTCCACGAGGTGGGGCACCCTGGGGCATCAAGTGCCCTTCAAGGGCTGTCGTGGCTTCGGATCAAACCACCATGCCCTACTGCCTCCAGGTGGATGCCTTATCGGAGCCTTAGGCAGAAAGAAGAACACAAGTCGTCGGTGTCCATGCTTGATACTTCACTGGAAGTCCATGCTTGACATTTCTTGCCAGCCCTGATGGATGGAACCTTCGGGTTTGATCCGAGGAAAAGACCTTCTATGCCTTTTCTGGTTCGATGAGTTGCCCAGATGGAAGCGCCGTGAGTGGTTGGTACAATCTACCTGGGATCCTTGGATTCTTTTTGAAATCCAATTCTTTGTTGGTGCTCGGCATTCTTTGTCAGGTGCTTGTGACTTGATCGTGTGATATCGTGTGTTACTTTCTAAGCCATTGAAAGACAATTGCATCTGACATTCTTCTCGTATGTTGCCTTGGACACATGGGGATCGGGTTCTCCATTGAAAACCCGCGCCGCGCGGGTGGGCGATCGTATCCTGAGGATCGAAGTGAAAGCGGGAGCATTGGGAGGGCCCAGGAATGCCACGGGACTGCGGCTTTATTGCCGGTCGACTCCTCTTTTGTCATCCTGTGAGCAGCCAACCACCTCCTATTGCCAGGGGGGAGGGGTCGTGGCCTGGATGAGTTGCCCTTTGAATTGTATCAATTGCGCTTCATGTGTAGATTAATTATGATTAGAACAAGTGTCATATGTAATTGTTCATATGATTAGATGTTTAACAAATCAAATGTTCACGTCAATAAACAGAATCTTTGAGTGTACCGTTCTTTGTTTATCGTCCCTCTTTCGTCCCGCACTCGTCCGTGCCTCTTTTCGCTTCTGTCACCGGAGAGGAAAAGAACTCCCAGGTGGTCAGCGTGAGCTTCGACTCCAACCAGTTCAAGATCGGCTGTTGCCAGTTGCAGAGGTCGGACGATGGTCGTCCAGTCGTGCACATTGAATCGGAGGTCGGTTGTCCAACGCACATATACACCGTTTGTTTCTTGCTTGGTGCCAAAGAGGCATTAAGTTTAGTATCAGTTCTTTTCAGGAAACATTGTTTATCGGCAGCTTGGAGAGTAAAAATGTCTCCACATAAGGCTGGGACTTGGGCAGCAAGTATGTTCTTGACTTTTTTGCTACCTGGAAAGGCGCTTGCACACTTCTTTTTGTTCGAATGTTCTATGGAAGAAATCCCCTGAATCGGCACCTGTCCAAGTTGGATCTCGTGAGTAATTGTAAATGACCCATTTGACAGAAGCGGCACCGTACTGAAAACTGTAGCTGGACAAAAGCCAATCGTTATAAACATGTTGTTGAACCAATATCACCCAGATGATTTGTTGAACGAATGATATGCAATAAGATCCAGTTTTTCGCACGGCTGCTGGCTTCATCTCTGGCAACCTTTGAAGCCCACATTCGGATGTACGAACGTCAACAGCCGCATGCACCTCTTCCTTTTGGAGCGAACTTGATAAACAAGAGAGAGAGAGAGAGGTTGTCCCCTGTTCGCTTACCAATCTAAACTCATTGGTGCCTTGCTTCTTGACATTTCTTGACATGGCCTTTTGGTGTTTTTCTATCATGCCAATGCCAATGCCAAATCAGCAGAGGTGGTCCGCTGGCAAGCATATTATACATGCAGCCAAGGTCATTTTGCGTGCCTTCTTGTTTGGATATAAGACTTTTTGCCCGAGAACTGATATCGCTGAACAACTATCGTTCAAAGTAAAGACGGTTTATGTCCAGCGAGGGGATTCTTCCCGCCCTGTCGACTCGAGCGATGATGTGACAGAGCAATCCTGATGCAGTCACACCTGGTTGTTTTCTTTGCAGCAAGTCCTGGCACTTGGTCTCATACAAGCTCATCTCTGTCCCTTTTTGACCTCAGCTTGGGTGCACCTCTCTTGCTTCAGCTGCCTCATCCGGAGTTTGCTCTCTACCCTCTCGTCTCTCGCCGTGTTCGTCGCACTATTGAGGCTGTTCGTTGCTTTTGTCCCTCGCAGCTTCTTGACGAATAAGCAGATCTCAGATCTTTGCTGACCATCGCAATAACGAACTCAAATCACCAAACCAGAAGTCATAAGCAGGTCCCATAAAAACTACAGTGTTTCCTCTTTCTGGAACAGCCACTGGAGAAGAGCACTTCAATTCCTGCCTTTCGTTAATCCCCCTTGTGAAGGGGGCTGAGGAGGATGTTGCTTAGGTGTTTGGTATACAGGTGCTCTGGATGTGCCTAGAAGACTCCCAGCTCCTCTCCAGCCTGTGAAGATTTGTGAGGCGTTTGGGCATGGCCTTAACTGACGGAGTGCGCCGCACTTTGCCTTATCAGGACGGACGCAGTGCAGTGCACGAGGATTGACCACTTGAGTATCACTTGGGCATTGGAGTTCTTGGAAGTTGATTCAAGGAATTGAAACTCATCAGTTTGTAAGAGTAGAGTGTTCTCTTTCTTCATTGGACACCGTGAAGTTGCAATCACACATCATTTGTGATGCACAATTTGCCAATATGTGCAATTCCTTGGAATAATATGGTGAAATTGTAATACAGTATATCAGTATGTCTTTACAGAAGTTCTATGGCAAAACCAAATTGCCCAACTGGACATTATGCGAACAGGCACCATTCTAAGCAAATATCCTGGGCCTAAACCCAAACCAAACATGCCCACAGAGTTCCATTGCATCGTCTGCTAGACTGTATCCTAGTCTAGTGCTCATCAAAACTCATGTGCCATGGTAAGTGAAAGGATGCAAACTGGTAACCTCAAGGCCCCTCCCCATGACTGAAAGCAGTACGTGTTTCAAGAATGCGACGGTCTCCTTCAGGCTTTGACTTCCTGTTTGTTTATTCGTTTGCCAATAGAGAGGAGAACGGAACCAGACAGGTTGGCATTGACATTTGGCTCTTGGGAAGGACTTCTCAGGCTACTACTGCCCCACTGGCGTTGACGTCACTGGTGCTGCCACCTACCAAGAGACCTTCATCCCCAGCCTGGGCTCCCCGAAAGCCTGAGCCGGAGAGAGGCGGCAGTCGGGGGAAGGAGGCCAAGATACGCGCAGTAAGTCAGGGATGGGGCCTCACAAGGGCAGTGAGGTGGGGCCTCACAAGGGTTGGAGAAGTGCTCCTCAGGTTGCCCGATCAAACCAAATTCAATTTGGGTCGACATGAATCCACTCCAACGACTCCCTTACGCACGTCTTTTTTGGTAAGCCGCATTGGGACAGGCAAAACAAGTATGGTCGGAAGCGCGTTGTAATGGCCCGTGTGTCAGGTGCAAGTTCCACCCCCATCCCCTACGACCACCCCATAGGCACTATCAACTGTTGTCATCCCATATGTTCATGCACAAGTGGGCCAGTGCGTACGTGAGTTGATGCAAGCGTGTGAAGGTATACGGCATGCTTGTGCCGTTTTCCTTTCATGCACAAGCGAGTTGACGGACATGGTGTGTCAGTGACTTAGGTGACGCAGGGGATATTCAGTTGAAAACTAGAGGGCCATTCTGGCCAGTCGCAGCTTCATCCACCCTGGCAGGGATTCGGTTCCGGCCTTGAGCTGGAACCGCTTCGTCGAACAATGGGAGATCCGCAAGAATGGACAACTGGTTGCATCTCTACCTGGTGATGATGACGCTTTGCCCAGTGGTATGCGGTGGCTGTATACTGTATTCCATGGTGCTGTTCCATTCTGTTCGTGCCTGGAAAAAGAACAAAAAGCATGTTGTTCCAACATGTCCAGCCCCCAAGCCGACATAGACCGAGGCCTCGCCTGTCACCGCCAATGGCACGGAGAGCTCCTTCTCGGCGACCTTGATTGAACCGCTGACAGCGGCATATGTGACGCTCGGCGCATGACTTGGGAGGCACTCCAGGTGATTGAAAGCAGTTCCTTAAAGCAATTAGTGCAACAGGGCTGCTGTAGGATTTCTGAAGTCCACTTAGATGGGGCTACAAATTGGTAGCAGGATATATATGACGGCTGATTAGGCAACTAGTTCAGGAATGCCACGTCCAATTCAGTTTTAAGCACTGCATGTCCGACCTTGATATACTCAGATATACTGGAGATTAGATTAGATGTGATATAGATATATATATATATAGATGGTGCTTTGTTTCCTGGAGTTTTGAAGCGCATCGTCCTAGTGCCTAGGACAGCCTCAAAGCTACAGTCACCTTTTCCCAAGCAGAAGCCATCGCGACCCAAACTTGTGGCCTTCCATCCAGTTCAACCAGACTACAAGGAGTATTGCGACCCAGCTTACTTGCAGAACCCCTATTTCTACACCGACGGCGAGTCCATGTCAGAGACCAACCCATGCTTTCATGTCTTCAACGCTCAGCCTGCCCAACTGAATCCGGAGCCTGAGATCCCGTTGCCCAAGGGGATTACAGAGCAGGCATGGAAGAGAAACAGAATTGCCAAGTAAAACCACTGCATTTCACACCCACGCAAGGAGGTCAATCAAGAGGGTTTTTGAGGTTTGCCGGTTTGGTACGATACATCGGTTCACAGCGCGCCCTGGAATGTGAGGGAACTCACGTCCCAAATGCTTGAAATACTTGGAATGTCCTGGCTGCCAGACTGTTGAAAATTATTTCCCATAATGGAGATGTTTGAAGGTGAGAGAGAGGGAGATGGGAGAGAGAGAGAGAGCGAGAGAGAGGGGGAGAGAGAGGGAGAGACAAATGGAGATTTTAGACTAGCCAGCCAGGTAGGGGTGCTCTATAAATGATAAATGTTCACAACTTTTCGGTTTATAATCTAACATACTCTAACAGTCAACATATGTCAACATTGACAAGTTTAATCAACTAAAACAAAAGCTTTAATAACTCGCGGCCTGATCGAAGAAAGGGCAGAACGGTCGAACCGACCACTCCAGGCGTTCTGGCAGTGCGCGGAGCGCAGCCAGCAACGGAGGTTTTTGAACGACATGACAGGAGTGAACAAACGCGAAATCGATTCAGAGATCACCAAGCAGACGAACAAGACACTTGGATGATCTGTTCCATGGGTAGTTTGGGCGAAGTTCGAGCTCTTGTGAAGACAGTTCTAGTGACAGTTCAGTTCTATATAATTACTCTGTTTTAATCCTTCACTGGCAACGAAGGAAACCTCAGATTGTCGGCTCAGGGGCCGGCCCCCTGTGCCACTGCCCCACTTTTCACAGGAACTTGAAGGGTTTCCCCCAAGGATTGATGAGATTACGCTGGGTTTGGAGCTGGCGGCCGCCGTGGCGGGGATGATCCCCTGGGGAAGCTATGCCGAGCCTGGCGCCAAAGGGGCCTCTCGGACCCAGAATTGAACGTCGGGGTGGCGAGAACGACAGGCCGACACGAAAACGTAAACCCTTCGGCATCGTGTTGAACGACAGTGGTGCCTGCGGCGGTTGGACCGGGAAGGGTTGCACCGGTGTAGTGTTTCATCGTTGCTGTTGGTCGGTGCAATCTGCAACGGGTGTGATCTGCACGCAACGTCTGAGGCCGAGAATGCTCAGCATCAAGTGAGAGATCGGGCACAGGGCGTGATTGAGGAAGCAGCCAAGAAAAGTTTCGCACGAAGGTTTTTAGAGACCTCCCTTCAATTAAAATGTTTTGTTGGTTGGTTCATCGTTTTGAGTGGTGCTGACACTGGGATTTGTTTGGGGGCAAGTTCGAGAGTCCAAGGACAGTTCCTTGCGCTTCGTCACCAGTACCTTCAAGGAGATCGGACACTTGTTTTCATTGAATGGTGGCAAATTGTAATCCTTTGGTTGTAACAACCGCATATCTAGGACCACGCACCCAGTTGGAATGCGTGTCCAGATGCCCCTGGTGTTTGCAAAGCCGCTGAACCAACTTGACCCCTCAGTTAGGAGCTCGTTTCACAGCGCAAATGTATGTCAAAACTCATGATTGTGCGGACATTTGGATTGCATTCCCCCGAAGATGATGAACTGCAGTTCTTGTCCAGGAGGTTTGTGCAACAAGAATCAAAATTCTGGCCTGTCACCTCTCTTCGTCAAGCATTAACTGGTTGCCTTGCACTGTCGCTTCAGTTGAACGGATTGGCTGTGATGGATCCTTTACCACCTATTTGTGTTATGCAGTGTTTTTTCATCCATGCACAGTTTTCTGCTCGCTCGGGTGCCAATGCCAATCTTTGTGTCGGACTGTTAAGTACTCCCATGTTTCGGTCTTGTGCTGCAATGTTCCCAAGTCTTTGGTCTTTGGTCTTGCTGAGTCCTTCCAACCAGTGGCATAGCTTGCCCTTGCGGCTGGCCTATAGGATTGCGTTCCTCTCTCACTAAAATGGGTACTTTGCAGGTCCCCAGCTCGGTTTCCACCTCACCCTTCTTTGCCGCTGTCGCCAATATAATCATTGGCATGAAGCCAGCTGAGGCAGCATTAAGTCAACTTAAAAAAAATCCTTGACATCCATGTGCTCTCAGCATGGCCTTGGATTTGTGGCGTCACATTTCTGATGTCTGGAAACTTGGATTTGTGCCTTCTCACCGTTTCACTTTCCATAGGGAGTGCAACCTCATTCTATCATTGGTGAGTTTTGTGCTGCGAGTTGAGGATCAAAGCCATTCAAGACCTTCATCGGCTCTGACGCTATCAAAACAGTTAAGGTGGGCGTGAAGTACAAGAAGCCGGACCCAGTCACCAGGGATCCGCCGAAGCCCGCGCAGCTCAAGAACATGAGCAAAGCGCTCACGAAGCAGAAGCTTGGCTTGAAAGCTTTTTGCTTTGGCAAAGCGCTCACACGTTTTTCTCCATTGTTTTGGGCTTTTCGTTCCAAGGACCGTTCCAGAAATGTCCGGATCCTACAACAAGGATTTGAAAGCACTGGCAGAGGCGTCCTGGAAGGATTGCCTTCCCATACAGTTCGGTCTCTCGAAGGTGATGTGCGACCTCTTTTGCATCGACGACGCAGTGCGCAGCGGCACTTCAGCTGTCTTGGAAAGCTTGAAGGACTCGCACAATGTGTTGATGACAAACATTCAAGCATTGCTGGAT